AAAAGAAACACAGGAGAAAATCTTTGATATCTAAGGTGAGGCGAAGAGTTGTAAACTTGATGTCGAAAGCATGATTCATAAAGGCAAAAAAAATGGTAAACTGGGAATTTATCAAAATTTAAAACCTTTGCTTCTGTGGAAGACCCTATGAAGATAAGAAGCTACAGACTGGGAGAAAAGATTTGCAAACCCCATATCTGACAGAGGAGGATTGGAGTAGGACAGAACACTTCCCAGCTCATTTTGTGTGTGACTCTCTGAGACATAAACCCAGGAGCGGAACTGCGAGGACATACTGTACTTAATTGATTTTCATTAAGTGCTGCTAAATTGCTCCCCAGAGTACGCCAGTATTCCCATCTCCCAACAGTGCATGAGAATTCTTGTGTTCCACTGTCTGCCTAACTTGTTACATTAGAGGCAACAGAATGTTGTAGAGAGAATGGGTTCTGGAGACAAATGCCTGGATTCAAAAACTGGCTCTGCATATTTCACAGTAACTATAAATGGGGTATGAGCTTTAAAAATTGTGAGTCACTATACTGTACACCTGTAGCTTATATAGTATTACACATCAACTATATTTCAATTTAAAAAGTACAAAAAGGGGAGTTACAAGATTGTTAAAAAGATTAAAGGAGACAGCTGACTCGAAGTTGACCACTCCAGCACCTGTGGCATATAGGATCTGCTCCCAAAAATGGGTTAGTCAGTTCAGTCTAAAAAGACTAAACACTCAAAAGGCCCATGTCACTACCTCCGGTGCTGGCACCAGCCAGTCTTAACAGCAGACTCACACTGCCCGGGGATGGGCTAATCATTTGTCTAAGAGCACAGAGGGGCCTCCTTCCCCCGACTCACACAGCTAGAGAAAGCAATCCTCAGTGGGGTGCACTGGCATCCTCATTCTGATCGATGGCTTAGATCCTCGGGGACAGCCAGTGACAACTGTACTGGATGCTGACTGTATTCTTTCAAGCAGAAAAAGTTCAGTATAAAGTAGTGCTGTCTTGGGCACCGTCCAAGAGGATTTGTCATCCTGAAGTTTTTAAAAGTACTCCTACTCAAATGCCATTCCTTGCCCAGCTCTCAAGCACAAGCTCACAGGCACATGGTCTAAAATGGGTCCAGTCTTCTCTCACCAAGTGAGAAAAGTCAGCCAAGGAGAGGAAGAACTTGAAACCTGAGTAAGAGTACACTTCACCTAAAATAAGATCCAGGTATTATTTTGTTGTAGTAACTACAGACTGAATTGTTTTAAAGCTAGGAATAATACAATAAAGGTTAAAAAAGAGAGAGAGAAACACTAGCTCTGACTTTGTGATCTTGGATAACCGACTGAACCAGTGTCTGAGTTTCCTGATCTGTAAAATGGAATAATAGTTCCTGTCTTAGAGCTACCAGGGCTTCTTAGGCATTAGTGGGCGAAGCTGGCACTTTTTTTCTTTTTTCTTCTCAGACATTTCCCCCACATTTCTTATTTCTGAATGAAGATTTCAAATTAGACTGAAAGCTGAAAATAAATACATGAGTATCAGCTGAGCTACAGAGCACACGTCAGTGAGGTTTTTGGTCGTTGGATTATTAGTGCATACAGTGTGCAGAGCAGGACCACAGATATCCTCAGAAATTTGGATATGCAAATAAAATTTAGCTCTTTTCTCAATTACTGATCTGATTTTCCTCACAAATCTCCTCCCATCCTCAACTCCACTGGATAGTGGAGGAGGCTAGAAATAAATTTGGCTCAGTCTCTTTAGGCTTCATTTATTCTCTTTGAAATACATGCTCAGGATTTCAAATTCTGAGCATTCTACTTTGCTCCTCTCCAACGTGTCAGCAGGGTATGGAGAGGAGGGCTTATGTGGCATTGTGATGTCAAAAGGAAGGGGTCCCCTGGCCTAATACTGGTTCTTGGGTGTGCACAAGCTGCAGTCCTCTGGGTATGGTTGGCCCAGTTCCACACTTGGGCGTCCTGCCAACATTTGCTTCTGAAGCTGATGAATTTGGAGTCTTGTCTTTCTCAGCTGTCAGGGCCTTGTGCCCCACCTCCCTGCCAGTTTGGCTTCCTCTCAGTAACTCTGTTTAGTGCTGCAGACCTCAGTGATTCTCTGCCTCATACTCCACTGAACCTAACAGGTCTCTGTTCAGTTTCCACACCATGTAGGGATCAAGGGACACTTCTTCCTGTCCATGCTTCTCTGCCTTCTTAATGCTCTTGGGGCCACAGTAAGTCCGTGCTGCAGGGCAGTTCCCTTCTGAAGTCCCAGTAGGGAAAAGGGCAAAAGTCTCCTTGCCCTCAGCACCTCAGTTGACTGCTCCATCCCAAAGTCCCAGATCAGGTCGATTTGATTTGGTCATTTTCCTCCCTCCCTGTCTCGTTCACCTCCCACTACCCCATCTGTCAGGACAGGATGGGACGTATTTCTCCCCTTTGCCATGTGTCTATTTCTTCCTTCCTTTCACTGTTTGACACTTTATTTTCCTAATGAGATTTTAATTTATCTGGTAGATAGTTTCAACAGTGAAATCGGATGCAGTCATTGTATTTGAGCTATGCTGTCATATGGTACTTAGAATCTGTAATTTACTGAGTTTACTAGCAGAATGTGCTTGGCATAATTCAAGAATGAATTTCAGTCAGTTATGCCTCAATAAAGCTGCAATTAAAAAAAAAGAAAGAAACACTAGGTGAAAGAAACACTAGGTAAAAGAAAAAAAAGAATAAATTGCGGTCTAGAGAATGATGTGGATTTGTAGAAAACATTCTGTACAAACCAGTTTACTCGTATATCACTGCTGTTCCCTGTTCTCGCTGGGGGAAATAGTAGTGACGGTACGTAGGGACGGGTTCATTTACCCACAAGGACTTCTTTGATACTCTGCTAATCTCTTCTCCTAAAGGAACAGCCGTGCCCCTGGTTGACTGTGGAAAAGAAAAGGGAGGGGTTTCTGAGGAAAGTGCAAGTTTTTGCCTCTTTGCTCAGCCTTTTGTTAAAGGACATGGTTGCACCGTAGTCACTAGCCAGCGGGTGACTGTGAGGAGGTTGTGCACCGATACTCAAGTCTGCGCTTCATTTGCATTTCCTGCACGGTGTAGCTTGTACCTAGCCAGACAGCGAGGGAAGTTAAGTTGTACTTAGTAAGTTTTGATACGTGGGGGCAAGCTGGGGAGCTGGTGTTGGCTTTCAGCTCTGCTGTACTCTGACTCAACTTTTATCAGAGAGGTTTGCCCTCGGGTAGCAAGCAGTTATGCAGCTAGTTACAACTGAACATATCAAAGCGGAACTCCTGATTCCCCACCCCCAACCTGTCTCCCTCATATTTCCTGTCTCAGCTGATGCCATGATTCACCCAGTTACTCAAGCTTAAAATCTAGGAGTCATCCTAGACTTGTCCCCTTCACTCACACTTCACATTCAGTCCATCAGCAAGTTCTGCTGGCTTTGCCTCCACAGTATGTCCTAAATCCATCAGTTCTTCATCTCCACTGTTATGACCCTGGTCCAGACTCCATCATCTCTCACTTGAATTACTTCAAAAGCCTCCAAACAAATCTTTCTCCCTGTTACTCTGGATTCCTTCCATTCCATCCACCCACCCACCATAGAAAAGTCACAGTGATCTTTGAAAAAGATCATTTCCCACCTAATAGTCTCCAATAGATTCCTCCTTATGCTTTTAAAAAATACAAGCTAAAGTCCATACGACTCAGTAACAAAAAACAACCCAATCAAAAAATGGACAGAAGACCTAAGAGACATCTCTCCAATAAAGACTTGCAAATGGCCAACAGGCACATGAAAAGATCCTCAGTATCACTAATATCAGAGAAATGCAAATCAAAACTACAATGAGATACCACCTCACACCAGTGAGAATGACCATCATTCAAAGTCCACAAACAATAAATGGTGGAGAGGGTGTGGAGAACAGGGAACCTTCCTACACTGCTGGTGGGAATGTAGTTTGGTGCAACCACTATGGAAAACAGTATGGCAATTCCTTAAAAACTGAAAATAGACCTACTATATGATCTAGCAATCCCACTCCTGGGCATATGTTCAGAGAAAACTCTAACTCAAAAAAGATACATGTACCCCAGTGTTCATAGCAGCACTATTTACAACAGCCAAGACATGGAAACAGCCTAAATGTCCATTGACAGATGAATGAGCAAAGATGATGTGATATATATATTCCATTATACATATAATGGAATGTTAGTCATAAAAAAGAAGGAAATAATGCCATTTGCAGCAACATGGATGGACCTGGAGATTATCATACTAAGTAAAGTAATCAGAGAAAGACAAATACCATATGATATCACTTATATGTGGAATCTAAAAAAATGGCACAAATGAGCTTATTTACAAAACAGAAACAGACTTATAGACACAGAAAACAGACTTATGGTTACCAAAAGGGAAAGCCGGGGCAGTGGGGAGTGGGGACTAAATTAGGAGTTTGGGATTTGCAGCTACAAACTACTATATACAAAATAGATAAACAAGGACCTACTGTATATTACAGGGAACTATATTCAAATGCTTGTAATAACCTATAATGAAGAATATGAAAATATATATATATATGTATAACTGAATCACTGTGCTGTACGCCAGAAACTTACATTAGAAATCAACTATACTTCAGTTTAAAAAAATACAAGCTCATTATCCTGAAAAGGCTATATGTGATCCTTCCCTTTCTATATACCTTTGCATCCTTTTGGTCCACTCTGCCCCTCACTCCGTGGTCCAGCTACACGCTCTGTTTGTTGAATACCCCAAGGCTGTTCTGCCTCAAGACCTTGGCATCTACTGAGGGCTGTCCCTGAAACACTCCTAGATCTTCAAATCGCTCCCTTTCAGATAGTCAGCAAGGCTTCCCTGACCACCCAAACTAGATTAACTGCTCTCCTCTAGTCACTCTAACACATCAGCCTACTGTAGTTTCTTTATAGCACTTAAAAATAATCAAATTTAACTCATTTATATGTTGGCCTTTTATTTATTGTTCGTCTCTTGGCATTAGAACCAGCTCATCAGTGCCTGGACAAGCACCTGGTCCAGAGGAGCGCTCATAAATCATCACTGAATGAACACAGGACCTTGTGTCTTAGTTTTTGTTTTGTGTGTGTGTGTGTGTGTGTGTGTGTGAGACTCACTCAGAGGTTCCATCCCAGGGAAGGCGACGGCTGGTAGGGCAGGACTGGGGCATTCCCAACAATACCACTAAGTGCCGGAAGACATTATCTGGGAGTTCTAATGTTCTCCCTTTAAAAATGTCTCTTGTGGGTTTAGCACAAGTGCTGAGAGCACAGTCAAGAGCTGGGCAAGGACTCAGGACCGTGTGTGTTAGCCATCACCAGATCTGCCTAGCCCCTTGGATACATGACTGACACCTGGCCATATCCCCAGTGTACCCACACTCTCCTCTCCCCAGCTGCCAGGCACACACCCTCTTCTCCATTCAGTGTGAACAGACCTCTCTCTCTTGTGCACACTGTACTCTCCCCTCTGTCACATTCTTGGTGTGCACACACCCTACATTCCTTCTAAGTCTCAGAAATCTGTCATCAAATCACTCCACCCTTTATTTTGGCTGAGGGCTCAGGTCAGGGGTGGGCTGCACACGTGGACTCTCCGTTGGACGCAGGTGGCAGGGCTGAGCTTTGTGGGCAGGGGCAGGTGCATCAGGATCTTCCTGCTGTGCAGCCTGGTGGTGCCGAGGGGCCCTTCCATGTACACAGGACAGGAATACACAGCCAGGCCTGCTGGGGGCAGGTCGTTGGCCCCCAAGGCCTGGGCGCTGACGCTGACGCTGACGGGAGGCAGAGGGCTGGGCTGACGGGAGGAACTGTCCTGCAAGGCCCCGGCAAGTGGGTCCCACTCGGCATTCCGGAGCTGTAGCCCAATCAGCAGCAGCCCCGTCTCTGGTACTGTGGGATTGGGGACGTTCACCACCTAGAGGCGCCAGAAACTGGTCAGGCAAGGCTAGGAAGCTGAGGGGTCGTGGAGCTGGGTCAAAGAAGGAGATGGGGCGATGAAGGGGCAAAACCAAGAAGAGGCACTGTGGGTAACTGCAGGGTGTAATCAGGGACTTAATCAGGGATTTGAAGGGCAGAATTGGAAACGAAGGGGCAGCACGAAGATACCTGGAGGTGCAGAGGGCTGCTCAGCTCCTGACGTCTGTCAGGGAGCTGACTGGAGCTGGAGCCTTGACAACCAGGGAAATTCGTCACGGCGACCACACCAAAGGCAGCCTCCCAACGCAGTGACAGCAGCAGGCGGCGCGGGTGGCAAAAGGCTGATAGGTGAAAGATGCGCTCTGGTACTTGGGTTCCCACACCCAGGTAGCGAACCAACAGCTGCCCACGACGCGACAACTGTCGCAGCCATTGCCAGGGCGGCTGCGGCCCGGCAGGCGCATGGGGTCGCCAAGGCCGGGGTAGGCGGCCAGCCCAGAGGGCGTGAGCCACCTCCGCACAGCGCCGGGAGGCGCACGGGGGCGCGCCCTTCAGCTGCTGCAACAGGCAATCGAGGTCCCGTTGCAGCGCGCCCACCAGCTGGCTCAGTTCCAACACCTCCGCCTTGAGGAAGCCCTCCAGAGGCCGTCGCGCACTCAGCCCCAGCTCCACCCACCCGGCGCCAGACTCATCTTGGCAAATGGTCTCGGTCAGCAGAGCCTGAAGTGACTCCAGCCTCCGCTTGGCTTGCACTAGGCGTTGCCTCAGCCGCCTTTCAGCGCGCCGGGCGCCTCCGCAGGCCTCTGGAACCCATGTGGGTGAACTCCGCTGCAGCGCGCTCAGGAGAGCGCGACTCTGGCGTCGCCACAGCCAGGTCTGGGAGCCAGCACTCAGTCCGCAGATCCGGGGTTCAGGCGGTGTGGGTAGTAGGTGCATCTGAGCCTTGCATTCTTCCATTGCATCGAACTCCCCTAGTTCTTGGGGGTGGAGGGGAGGGGTGAGAGACAAGATGGCCTCTCCTCACCTTGCCAAGGGAGTAGGCCTTTCCCAGACACTTTAAGCCATCATTCGGTAACTGTGATTACTGCCCCCTTCTACACCTTTATTGATACCTCTGTTCACATGCCCTTCAGTGAGGTGGCATATAACTATGCTGCCCCTCCCCCACCCTCAACACAGATACTTGACTGGAGCTTACCTGGACTGGGCATCAGAGTGGCCAGCAGCTGCTGGGGTGTGTGTGGTTGGGCCCAGTTCCCACTGCTGGGGCCCAGGCAGGCTTGCGTCAGGCTAGTCAGGGCCTCCCTGTCCTTGTCGTCTCCCACCAGACCCCCATAGAAAACCGAGGCTGAGGATGAGGTCAGAGCCCCTCAGTTCCAGCCCCTCCAGTTTCCACCACCTCCCAAACCAAAGTTGCAAGTTATGTCCCCATCTCTGTGCTCCCACCCCTACCCTTTTCCAGGCTCTCCTTGGGGGCTGATGACTACGTGGGGGACAGAAGGAGTCTCACCAGCCAGCTCCTGCATGGCGGCCCTGGGATTGCTAAGGCTGGCCCACAGCTGGTCTTGGATCTGAAGGGCCTGGGTCAGGGTCACTTGACTCCTGGGGGCAGGGAGCAGGAAGTAGGGCTTCAAAACCATTTATATGCTGAGGACTTAAAACATCTTTCTCTCCAGCCCAAACCTCTCCTGAGCTCCAGACCCATGAGGGCTTACCAGTCATCACCACTTGGCACCTCAAATACAACTTTCTTTCAACTGAAATCATCTTCCCCACCCCACACCAGCCAGTTGTCCAAGGCAGAAGCCTGGGAGCCATCCTTGACTCCTCCCTCTTCCTCACCTCATATATACTCTCTCCCTGCACTGTGACTACATGAGTTCCTACCACCGCTACCACCATCTCGTTCCTCAAGAAGACCAGAGCCTCCCAAAACTGTTTTGCTTGCCTCCAGGCCTGCCTTGTCTGGTCCACTCTCCACACTGCAGCCAGCTTGATCTTTCCAAACAAGAGGATCATGTTTCTTCTACTTAAAATCCTTCAGTGCTTCCCACTGTCCTCAGGATCCAATAAGGTGCCTTGCCATGGTTCCTACTCAACACCCAGCATGTCTACCTCAGCTATACTGATGTCTTCTCCCTCCTGCTGAGCTTACTTCCTTCTGCTCTGAAGGAGCAGGCCCCATCACCACCTGATCTGCCTCTGCTGTTAAGACTCACTTCAGAGGGAAATCCTAAAGCCCTTGTAGAAGCCTTCCTTGACTTCCCCTTGCCTTGCCCTCACATTTTGGAGCTCCCCAGGGATGAATCCCAGAGTGTGAAAAATATTCAGTGTTTGCTGAGTGACTGACAGAGCCAGATGGGTGGGGTCCCTCACCAGCGCCCCCTGTGGGCCTGCAGCTTCATTCCATAGAGCTGCCGGTGTAGCAGGAGGCCATGTAGGAGGAGCAGAGGCAGCACCCTGGTTGGGGGTTGCACACTGAGTCCTTGCTGGGCTAGCTCCACGCTGTCCACCAAGACGTGGCCCAACTCCAGGGACTGGTCCCAGAAAACAGGCATGGAGTGCTGAGTCAGTATGGCTGTGGAGGAGGGAGAGTGCAGAGTCAGCACAGTACAGTTGCCCTCCCCTGCTCTAATCTGAGAGCCTATGGAGGAAGCGCCTCACCTGGTAAGGAAGCAACAGCCTCTGCAGACACAATAAGCCAAAGACGGAAATCTCGGTGGACAGTGGCCACGTTCCTGCTCACTTGTTGAGCTAAAAGCAGTTCTAACTCCAGGTCTGAGACCACTAGGGGTCAGACATAGGGCTGAGATCAGTCACCGGGTAAAGGGTCAGACAGAAACCTAGGGGGTCAGAAGTCAGATACAAGGGGGCCAGGAGATGGGCCATGGGACCTGAGTTCAAGCTCAGGCCCAGATTTTGGACAGGGTCCTAGAAGCCATCTGTAGGCAACAAACCCACCCTTGGCTCCATCCAACAGCCCCAGCAAGGGCTGTAGCAGCTCTTTCGGCCAGTGAGGCATCAGATGACAGTTCTCCAGCACCAGCCAGTGCCCTTTATGCATAGCCTGGCGGAGAGTGCCCACCACAGCTGAGACAGGATCCCAGGCTTCAGAGCCCAGAGCTATCACCTCCAGATGCTTCTGCCCCTGGGGACAAACAGCAAGATGGCAGAGTAAATCAAAGTGATCCCAGGGTGACCCAAGGGACCCAGAGTAACGCCACAGATGACCTCAAAAGTCCCTGAGTAATCCAGAAAGATCCATGAGAACGCTGGGAGGGGGGCCCCACACCCCATCCCAGCCCGTAGGAGTTCAGTTGCTCTGTGGCTGAGAGGCTGGGTGCAGACCTGCTCATGTTTGGCAGCCAGTTTCTGGATGACAGTCAGGGGATGCAGGGAGGCGGTGGGGTGACCAGGTGGTGGCAACAAGATCAGCACGGGCTGAGTAGCCTGACTCTGTTCAAAGGGTATGGTGGAGGTACCCAGGTTTTCATCCAGGGGCCGGCCCAGGAGGCTGGTGGTGAAGGCTGTCAGGGCACTGGCCAGGCACTCGGGTCGCAGCACACGCCACAGGATCAGCTTCTGGAGGAGGCTGAGTGGGTCAGTCCCAGGCCCCGGCGCAGGCCCTAGCACTGTGGATGGCAGTGACAGATAAGCCTGCCAAACACTAGAGTGGCCTGCCAGGGACGCACACAGCCCAGCGAATGGGGGCAGCAGCTCTAACACCCCACATTCATGCCAGGCTCTCGGCCCTAGCCAGGCTGGTCGAGCCACACCTGAGACTAACTTCCTGTTGTCTGTGCTGGGAGAGGCTGCCAGTCCAGGCCAAAGTGCCAGCCTCTCCAGCTCTGGTGCCTTCCTTGCCATGCGCAGCACAGCCAAGGCACCCAAGGCACCCACCAGGGGGTACTCGGGTCAGGCCCAGTGTAGCAACAGCACTGCCCAGGAGCTGGCGGGTCAGCTGTCTTTTCAGCTGCAGCAGGTGGCAGGGTAGTTCCTCCCTGTGATGAATCTCACGCTTCATGCTATTCAGAGCCCGTCTGGTGGCTGCCAAACAGTTCTCTGGACTCACACAGAAAAGCGGCAGCAGGTTCTGTAGTGGGCTAAGAGCCTTTACAATGGCCATTCCGTGCCAGACCACGCGTCGATAGGGTGCGCACGATGCCGCCTCCTGCAGCCTCAGCTCCTCTAGTTCCTCGCAGTGGACACGCAGCTGACACAGGCCTGCCTGGGCCCTCACTATGCCCCGCAGGAACCTGGCTGGCTTCTGATGCTTCGAGGTCTGGAGCAGCAGCATCGTCAGCAGCCGCTCCTGCAAACAGGCACTGGTGGCACAGGTCCAGCTCTTTCCCACAAGTCCCCGGTCAGTGACACTCATCTCCACCCCCACACCTTGGCCCCTACAAAGCTGATCCCAACCTGTAGACTGGACCCCCACGCACCTCAGCAGCCTCCACGGCTTCCCAGGTATCCAGGAATCTGATCTTTAGGTCCTGCCAGTGGCTCTCGAGCTCGGGACACTCTACACACAAGATTTCATGCAGCATCTTTTCTTCCAGGATTTCCATGTTCATGCCCAGATCCAGCACATTCAGCCCCTTCAGCAATTCACAGCCTAGCACTTGAAGTCACATGGGACACACTGAGCCCCTCCCCTTGGCACAGCCAGGGGTGGGGGGCACAGGGAGGGTGGCTCCCCGCTAGGGTCCTGCTCCCTCTCTGGGCCAGAATGAGTGAAGCTAGTAGGGCCCTCGTGTGTCCACAAAGGTGTGCTGGCAACTTACCCGTCGGGCCTCACCTTTCTCCAGAGCACTGAGGCGGAGGGCAGTGCTCAGGTAGAGGCAGAAGCCAGGCTGCACCTGGGGCAGGCTCAGCTGTTCCCGCTGCAGCAGCCATCGCAGTTCTGGGCACTCGAGGCCCAGTTCCATGTTGGTCAGCAGCACAGGGTGGCCTGCGAGGCGGAGGCACAGGCACCCTACCACCATGCCAGCACCTGGGCCCCTCAGCCCCCCAGGCACAAAATCTGGCTCCGTCCAGCTCCCCACTGACTGAGAGGTGGGTTCCCTCAAGGCTCTTCCACAGAGTTAGGGAGCAAAGGTGGCAGCTGAGGTCACACTGGGATGTGAGAGGTCTGTGGGGCCACAGGGACATGCTGGGGGGAGGGGGCCAGCTCTCACCACTGGCAGCTGCTTCCCGGAGCTGAGGCCCCAGCTCTGGGTCAGAGCCGGAGAAGATGTGGAGGTGCGGAGGGGGCGGGGACTGAGTCACAGGTTCCTGCCTCTCTGTCTCCTCCTCCTCCTCATCCTCCCGTTCTTGCTCCTCTTGCTCCTCCTCATTTCCCCTTTCCTCTGCCTCCTGCTCTTTTGTCTTTTCACACTCCTCATTGCTATCATCATCTTCCTCTTCCGTGTCCTCCTCCTTAGGCTCTTTTCCTTGATTTCTCTTGAAGCCCTTCCCTGTGGAAGAAAGAAGAGGAGCTCTTCTCAGGATGGAGGACTCAGGCTTCTGGGGAGTCCCATTCACCCAAGGCCTCAGCTCATGAAGAAAGGTCCATGAGAAGACACCTTAGGAAAGTTGCTTAAGCTCACTACGACTCAATTTCCTCAGCTGCAAAATGGAGTTGACGTTAGTGAGTCCAGCCTCATACGGTTGGTTACTGGGACGATGACATGAAAGAAGAGAAAGCACTCAGCAGGCACCCAGCAAGCACCAAGCAAGGGTTAGTTAGAAGAGTCAGTGCATTGTTTGTTTTGCCTAAGCTAATTCTGTCACTAACAACTACAAGAGTCATCGTAGCATAGAGATCCGTGCCTGGGATTAGTAACCTATAAGAGAAAAGCCATAAACTGTGGCATTAGCCAAGTCATGGGCGGTGCTGTGGACATAGGTGGTTGGCTGACCAACAGCCATTTGCAGCCCCCTTCTCCTGTGTCTCCTCTCCTGAGGAGCTGTAAAAGATAAATATATATATTTATGTGTCAAGAAACTTAAGAATCTTAAGAATTTTTAAAATATTAAGTGTTTAAAGGGAAAGGTATAGCTCAGTGGTAGTATGCATGCTTAGTATGGGTTCAATCCCCAACCTCCATTAAAAAAAAATAAACCTAATTACTCCCAAAGAAAAAATTTTTTAAAAAATTAAGTGTTTAAGAAGGGGGCAAGTGGAGGTTTCCAGGTCCACAATTTGGTGTATTCATTTCCTATTGCTTAACAAATTACCATAAATTTAACAGCTAAAACAACACCCATTTATTATCTCTCAGTTAGGTAGGTTAGAAGCCTGACCAGACATTCTGCTCAGGGTCACACTGGGCTAAAATCAAGGCTGAATCACTGGGGCTGCAGTGCTCATCCGGGACTTGGGTGCTCTTCCAGGCTTACTGGTTTTTGACAGAATTCATTCCCCTCTCACGCTTTCCCTATAGCCCACTCCATCTACAAGCCAGACAATGGCTCACTGAGACCTTCTGTGTTTCAGATCTGTCTCACTGCCCCTTCTTTCTTCCTTCCTTCTTTGAAGGGCACATGTGATTACTTTGGGTCCACCCAGATAATCCAGGATAATACCTCTAGTTCAAGGTCAACTGATTAGCAACCTTAATTACATCTGCAAAGCCTCTCTTGCCATGTAACATAACATAATTAAGGGAGTAACACCAGAGGACAAAGGTCATGGGGGCCAAATTCTGCCTACCACATTTGGCTATTCAGACTTCTGGAAGATCTTTTGTTTTCCTGATGAAGAGAACAGAAATGGCTAAGAGCAACTCTGACATGATGCTCGAAGGGATAAAAACCAATTTAATACACGTATGGTGGCTTCAAACAACAGAAACTTATTATCTCAGAGTTCTGAAGGCTAGATGTTTCTTCGCAGTGTCTCCTATTGGAGAGGGGGTAAATTAATTAATAGTTACAGATGTGATAGTTGTTTAATGGACATTTTTGTAATGGTGTATGGGCACAACAGAAAGTCATGCTGGACAGCCAAGGGATGGACTCTAATAATAGCAGCAGTAATAAATTGGTAGTAATAATGACTAACATTTTTGAGAACTTGTATGTATTACAAACTGTGTGAACTCGTTTTACATGAAATATCTTAATACAACACTTTATGAGATAGGTATAATTAAGACCCTAATTTTATTGGCAAATAGGTTTAGAGAGATGAGATACTTTGCCTTAGGTCACACAGCTAGCAAAGGACAGATATTTGACCTAGAATCTGCTTAAAGAACCCATGTTACAGTACAGACCACTTTATTATACACTTTCTATTGTATTGAATAATGTCTATTATTTTTACCAGTGCAACCCCCAACCCCAACTTCTGGGAAATAAACACTCTTCTTTCTCTCCCTCAGGAAACACTCCTTTGGATGCTCTACCCAGATGTGTCCCTGAGCGAAGCAGAGCCAATAGAAATAGTTCCCTGGAATTCCTGAACATGGGATAAATTTGGGTAGTATAGCTCTGTGTTGTAGTCTAAGTTTCTAACAGGGCTGAGCAGACCAAGGAAGTGGAAAATCATGGTCAGTCATGTAGATTCAGAATCATTGTAATATGGGCCAAAAAATGTAAATGTGCCCTAATTTATTAATATCATGCTGGCTGATGAAACCTGGAATACCCTGGCCACAAAAATGTAGTATCTTCCTTATGAAAGGGAAGACCACATGTGGCTGAGAGCGTTGGGCAGCTCAGACACCCAAGCAGCACTGTGTTTACCATCCCCGGCTTTACCTCTGCCCTCGGTGGGACCTGGGGCCGAGCATCTAGTCTCTTCCAGAGGCAGTGGGTTCAGCCAAATGAGGGCCTGGTTGCTGGGGTCCAGCAGCAGAGGCCAACGGCAGCTGAAGTAGTGTGTGTGACTTCGCAGAAGCAGGCCTGCCAGGTGGGCTGACTTTGCCTGGGGCTTCAGGTCTCGGTCCCACTGGAACTGCTGGGATTCAGAGCTCAGCAAGGACAGAAGGCTGAAGGGGGAGCGGGTGGAGAGCAGGGGGTTCTTTGGTGGCATGACGACAGATTTCTGTGTCTGCTTCAGTGCCTGTGCCACGTCATCTGGGCCCAGGGTCTCCTGGCAGCCCCTAAAGAGAGCCAGCCACTTGTCTAGCAGCTCCTGGCGCCGCGCTGGTGGGAAGGGACCCAGGTAGACAACGGCAGCTGAGCACAAGAGGGCATCTCCGAGCACAGTCGTGCAGTGCCCCTTCAACTTCTGGAGTGGAAGAGACCAGAGGGTGTGCAGGCCAGTGGGGAGGGCACCGTTAGAGGGTCTGGCAGGGAGGGAGGAAGGAAGGGGATGGAGGGCAGAGTGGGGTAGAGAGTGGGGGCCGTGGTGCAGAAATGAAATCGGGGGTGGGCACTCTGCGAGGCGCTGGTTACCTGGAGCTCCGTAGTCCAGGAGTGCATGGGCGTGAGCAGTGCAGCCTTTACGGGCCACTTGTGATACTGGCCACACTTAGCCTGATGGAGGTTCTCTACCACATGCCTGTGGGCAGCCTGGGCATCTTCTAGCTTCTTAGACAGGGACAAATCATACTTTAGGATCTCCTGGGCCTGGAAATGATAGTGGGCCAGGCGAGCCTGCTCCCGAGCCAGGGTGGCCTCCACCTGCCGCAGCAGCAGTCCCGTGGGCAGCCCTCGGCGCTGGGCCAGCCCGTAGCACAGAACAGCCCAGAGCCAGGCTGCCAGGCTTGCTGCCGGTATGCTCACTGCCCGCAGGGCTGCATCACTCATGCCTGGAGCCTTCAGAGCTAGGCTTAACTTTATCATCTCTGAGTCTGTCATCTTCTCCTTGGGGAACACCACCAGCTCCTGGGAGAGTGTGTGTTAAGAGGGGCGAGGGAAGACATAGACGCTCTGAACCTTGTCCCAACAGCCTTCTCCTGCCAAGTCTCCTCTTTATGCCTCCACCCTCCTCGTCCATTGTGTCCCACATTCCCTACCTGATAAAAGTCCTCAGTGCACAACAGCTGCTTGGCGCTGGCCCAGCCTGTTTCGCGGTGGAAGAGGTCACACAGAGCATCGGTCACCCGGACCACAGATTCTGGTGGTGCTCGATAGCTCCTTATCTCCTCAAAGTCGGCCACCTGCAGCTGGCTCAGGGGCCCCAGAAATGCCTTGCCCATCTAAATGAGGAGAGATATGCTCTTGAAGGGAGTTCCCCAAATGACCTCTTTCTTCAAGGTATTTCCAGGAGGGATCATCTTCTCTTAGGTTCCCCTGCGGGACCATTCCTCGAGCCGTCCTATTACCTGTGCCCCCTCCCCGAGGAGACTCCACAACAAGTTGACCCACCCTCTCCTCTGGGCATCCTGTGAGGGGCTGTCCCCCTCCAAGAGCAGAGCAGCGCAAGACAGGCAGCAGGAAGAGCCCACCTGCTCCAGGAAAGCCTCGTGCTGAGTCCGCAGGGCATCCCGCTGCTTGGTCAGTTTCTCAATGAGATTCTCCTGCTGCTGACACTCTGCCAGCTGCCGCCCGTACAGGAACTTCCTTTGGTCCCACTGATGCTGCAGTCTGCTGAGGCTCTGTGAACAGAGTCGAGGCTCTACAGCTCTAGATGCTGGGCCAGGTGGGAAGACCCTGGAGGAAGACCCTGTGGGCTTGGACTCGGGCGCGCTCCTCACTTGACACTCAGGGTGGCCAAGCTGAACTCCCAACAGGACACAGATACACACTGAGCTCTGAAACTGTCCTTGACTGGTCTGTGAGTTACACATCAAGCCCTGCAGCTCTCCTGATCTACCGCACAGGCCCACGCAATCTCAACCAGTAACCGCTATGCTTCAGATTGACCCATTAGTGGCATTTGTCGCAGAAGACAGTTCCACCCTCTTGAAACATTTTCCTCCCTTGACTTGCATGATACAATGTTCTCCTTTGACTTTCTCCAAACTCCGTGGTTGCTCTTTCTCAGTCTCTTCCTCTGCCATCCCTTAAATATTTCTCAGCAAGTTTTTCAGGGCCCCCTTCTCTTCTCGCCCTACACTTTTGTGCACCCTCCCTAATCTCACAGCTCTGATTACCACTTAGATTTTAACAACTTCCAAATCTTTGTATCTAGCCAGGTTCTTTCCCAAGACCCACAGTCCCATATCCGTCTGAAATCTCCTCTTCAGTGTCTCACAGGCCCCATCAGACTCCACATGTACAGAAACTGAGTAGCAGTATTGGCTATGCCTTCCCAGATCTCTTGCAGTCTTACCCATCTCTTCATGAGCTCTTTTCTCAGAGAACTGTGGCAAAAGACACCCATGTTTCCCAAGGAAGAAACCTGTTACCCTGACTCCATCTCTTCCATTCCCCCTAAACCCAACCCATCTCCAAGGCCTTTCATTTCTACCTTCTGAATGTCTCTCAGGCTTACTCCCATCCCCAACACTATCACTCATGCCCATGCTCCCTCACTCCTGACCCTCAGTGCTGGCTTCCTAGCTGGTGTCTCAGCTTCCTAACTCTTACTTCCCCTCTACTAATCCATTTTTCATGCTGCAGCCTAACTGGTTTTCTAATGGCCAAGTAGCATTATCACTGTCATGTCTCTTAACACTCGCCACTCTTTCATTTGGTTTACAAGGACTCTGTAACGCAGAGGCCCCTACTTATCTTTCCAACCCCATCTCCTTTTCCTCCCCCAGCACCCTACTCTCCAGCCATTCCCAACTTTCAGCTCCTCCAATGTGGTACACATTCCCTTGCCTTGGGGCCTTTGCACCTGCTACTACTTCAGTCTCACTGCAACATTCTTCCCACCCTCTTTTATGCCAAATCTTACCTAACCTTCAGGTATCAACCTTGATGTACTTCATTCATTCGTTTACATCTTTAAGGAATGTTTTTGAGCGCTGACCATGGTCTACAGATGCCTCCGTGCTATAGACTGGCACTGTGCTTTCTCTACAAAGTCTTGCTATATCAGAGCACCCTGGACTTGCTCTGTCATAACACACTGTTCTGTAATTACCTGGATGAGCCTGTATCTTCCAGTAAACTAGGCACCATGAAGGCAAGGACCGTGCCTTATCTTTCTTACTAGGAGGCAATTTAACCTAATGTTAATAGACGCCAATACTTATTGGGCTCTTGCTATATGCCAGCACTTTGAAATGCTTTACATGTGAGACCTCTTTTAATCCTCATCCTAACCTCTGTGGATCTGAGTTTTCTCATCTGTAAAATGGAAGAAAGGATGGCTGCCTTAGAAAGTTGTGGCGATGATTCTGTCTGTCTATCTCCATGTAACCATAGATACAAGGATAGACAAAAATATTAACGAGTGCCTGCACAAAAAAGTGAGTTCAATTAGTTTTTGTTGACTACAGTAATGAATGAATGAACCAGTTGAATATGAGAAGGAAATGAGACGGAGGGGTCCAGAATGACTCCTCATTTAACTTAAATGACCTAGTGGTTGGTCACCAGTACCATTGCTTCAGGTGGACAACACTGAAAGAAATACACACTATTACGGCTGTTGAGTGAATGTCCCTGAGACTACGAACTCCTCTTATCTAGATTTTGAGCTTCTTATGTTGTGGTCTGATACATCGGACCCAGGGATCAAAGAATAATACCACTCCCAAACCAGATCAACAATTTCAGGTATTAATCATCTTGGGAAAAGGTAGGACCCAAGAGAAGAAACTGGAATTTGGAAAACACAGGGAAAAGGACTCCTGTCCATTTATGAACTTCTTAATTTGTCTGCATGTCAACTAAGGTTTGATGTTTAAGCTAAGCTACCATTCCTTGGGGACGGATGGTAGGAGGGCACCGGTACTGTGCGGACTCCCAGGAACACCGTTTACACAGAACACAGGCAAAATAATGTGTGTAGACATGATGCGAGCCCTGCCCCTGGAAGAGGCCTGTCAGCCACCGGGAGCTGTAAGGCCTGAAAGCCAGCAGGCAGGTAAACCAGGTTATCTGTTTGTGGATTGAGCACTAGTTTACTTTGCTGTAGTTAGCCCCACACTTTCACCGAAGTCTTGTCTAGCAGGAAGGAAAAAAAATGCTATTTCAGAATTTCTATCATTAAAAACAAAAGATAAGGGTGGGGGGGAGGATATAGCTCCGTGGTAGAGTGCATGCTCAGTATGCACAAGGTCCTGGGTTCGATACCCAGTACTTTCAGTTAATAAATAAATAAACTCAATTATCTCTCCCCAAAATAAATTAAATTAAATTAAAAAAACAAACAAACAAAAAGAAAAAACTTCTCTTCATTTCGGGACAACACTTTTAACTAAGAGAGTTTGGCTACAGAAGTTGTGGTGACCCCACTGATACCGGTTCCAGCTAGATTTGAGTGGTTTGTGTATACAAAGAAGAAAATTGCTCCATATAAGAAAACAATAGGATTTAGGGTTTGGGCTGTACAAATCTCTTACTACATGAGAATTGTATTTGCGGAGCCCTGAAGGGAAAGTGGGTGGCTGAATAACACTGTGGAGCAGTTCTGTGTAGACGGGAGGAGAAAAGTCTGTCACTGGAAATGCCCTGTAGAGGAGGGTGACAGAGGAAAAGTCGGGACACTGAGGTCTACATGCCATTTAAATCTATTTCTTGTTCTGTTCTAATGTAAATTGCCCCCACTGCCATCACCCATTCACACTTCCCCACTGTACACCAGAGTGTATATTTTTATACATACAGTGTATATATTGTATATTTGATGCTTTTGTGGAAGGAAGAGGTGCAAGGACACAGTGGCATGGGAAAAGAGGACAGCTACAAGAGGTGTGCCAACTAGCAGTGATACAGAATCCAACAGAAGAGGATTAGGGTGAGAGGTGGCCATGAGGATGTAATCCTACCCCATCCCCAGTGGGAGTCTATGGAGAGCTTGGGGAGCAGACTGAACTTCACACAGTCAAGGTCCCAGGGACAACAAGAAGCAGACACTTGGATTTCATGTATTAGAAGAGGCAGTCTGGTCTCCGCTGTGCCAGGGGCAACTTTGAGTCTGAGCTCTAAAGGAGGAAGCAGCAGGAATTAGAGACAAGATCCCCTTGGGGGAAGGGGGACTCTCTGGAGACAGAACTAAGGTTCAGTCTCGTTGCTTCCTCCGAAGTCCCCTTTTAGGCACCTGCTTTTGACCCTGCTGTGCATGCCTCATAATCCTCTCCCCCTTACCTCGCGAGAGCCTTTTAGCTGCTGCTCCAAGGCAAAGACCAGGTTGCTGTGGGCATTGTGCTGTTCAATCAGCATCCTCAGATTTCCCAGGGCATTCTGGATCCTGGAGATACAAAGTGCCAGTGAGTGGACCCGAGGGAGCAGAGGAGGTTTGGGGGAGGGAATGAGGGCCCTCACCGCTGGGCCTTGTTCTTTATCTGCAGGGTCAACTGTTGCTGCAGCAGCACAAAAGTGTCCAAGAAGTCCAGGAAAGTCTTGGGGGTGACTAGTGGCAATTCTGGGCACAGGTGCCCTTGGTAGCTGGCAGCTGAAAGGTGGATGAGAGCCATGGCTTTGGCCACACTGGGGATTGAGGCCTGGAGGTCTGGGTACTTCAAGGAGTCTGCAACGGGCATGGCTTTAGCCTGGACTTCTGAGCTTGTGGGAGAACAAGAAACGAAAGGAACCCTCTCTGGCTCAGGAAAGAGGACAGAAAAGGTGAAGAAGGCTCAGTTAGGTTCTAGAGAGGCTGACCTCAGTAAACATTCTCATTAGAACCTAGTTGAGATGAGTGGCAAGGGCAGGTAAAAAGAGCTCACCGTCATCAAGGGGTGGGCTCTGAGTACCCTCCAGGTGGTGCTGGACCACGCTGACCAGGGAATCGTGGTCCCAGGGCTCATAGCGGTCAATGCTGGCGATGGCCAGCTGAAGGAGCCTCAGGAAAAGGGTGGAGGGCAGCTGTTTGTGGGCCTGGTCATCTCCGATCAGGATGAACATGTGCAGGTGGCTGCACACTTGCTGGTAGAACCTGTGAGGAGAAGCTCAGATGCTGGCCCCCACGTTAGCCCTATTTGCCCATCCAGTCCGCATCCCAGCCCTGACCCCTTGGCCCTGATGCTCTGAGCCCTCACACTGTCCCTTGGGTTTTGTTTGTCTGTTTGTTTTTTGGCCTTCGGCCAGGAAGGGGCAAGGACAGGACAATCCCTGCTGCGGGGTTCTGGGCCTCACCTCTGCAACAGCATTTCCTTCTTGATGTTCTGCTTGACACTAAGGTTATCCCTGAGGAGATGCTCTTCAATGTTGTCCAGATCTGCCTCTGTGTACTGGTCGGGGAAACTTCCTGAGGTTGCCAGGGCCAGTAGACGATGAAGGGTAGTGAGATCTACACCCCTGGGCACCAGCAGGGCCACTGGCTTGCCTAACATGCCAGCATGCCAGCTGGCCTCCCGCAGACACTGGAGAATGGCCTCCTCTGATCCACATGGCAGATGGAGGAGGCGGGCCTGACAAATGTTAGCAGCCAGTGTGACAGCGGTACGGCGCCCAGTGCCCCGAGCCCCTGACAGCAGGAAGCCATGCTGCCGGGGCCTGGCCAGCACCCGGACCAGGCGGGCCACATGCTGGGCCATCGAGTGGCACCGGGCAAGGTGGGGGCTCAGCTTCAGCTGAGCAGCTGAGGTGGCCAGCTGCTCCTCTAGGCTCTCCCACTGCCGTTCCAGGTACAAGTTGGGGCTCTCGGAGTTGGACCCTAGCATCAGTTCCTGACTGAAGACCAGGTCTGAGGGCTTTTCCTGGGGACGGAGTAATAGGACTGGTAGCAGCAGGGGAGAGATTAGGTCTACCTGGGCTGTCTTCTGCCACCGGTTCTTGGATCGATTTAGCTGGCTTTTGTAGCTGGAGGTCCCTGTGCCTTCCTCCTGGCCTATCTTCTGACTTAGGCTCCCTGTGGTCTCCCTCTTTACTGGGGCTATGGATGGTGCTGAATTGTTGGCTGGTGAGCCTGTGGTGACCTGAAGGCCATGAGGGTCCTCCTCCTCCTCTGTCTCACTGCCGCTGCTGCTCACGTCCTCCCACTGGGCCAGCTCCCCTTCAGATTCCACCTCAGGCACCTTCTCCTCCATCTCCTCCTCATAGCCCTTGCCCAGGCTCTGGGGTGCCGGCCCACAGCAGAAGACATTCTGAGCTACCTCAAGGAGCAGGTTGGCACAGAAGGAGCGCTCCCTGGGGCTGTCCAGCCGGTCACAAAAGGTTCTCTGTGCCTCATGCAACCAAAGACGCACCATGTTGCGCATGGCTATCATGATGGCCAGGTGGGTGCCGCGTAAGCCGGACACCCGGCGCAAGTGCTCCTGGTGGTCGGGACAGTCCACAAAACCCCACGAGCCCACCCTGGGGGGCAGCAGCTGCAGGCTTCCCAGCAGCTGGCTCACCAAGTGCAGGGAGAAGCGGTAGTGGGGGCGGAGGGGTGAAGGTAGAAAGCAGTGGCCCACCGCCTCGCAGGCCTCCACCGAGGCCCGGACCAGGGCTCTTGCTAGAAGGCTCTCCCGCTCCACAGAGGGGAAGCGCTCGAGCCAGGCCTGGATGCTGGGTGTGTGCCTGCTCAGCAGCGCGGCCTGGGTCATGCTGCCGAAGGCCAGCACTGTGAAGAGTCGACAGAGGCGTGGGCACAGCGGGCGCTCGCAGAAGCCCGGCACCGTGGCCGTGGCAAGGAAGTTGATTTTCGGCTGCAGCGTCTGTAGTTCCAAGGAGCCGTGGGCATACACGGTGCCGTCCATGGCCTGGCGCAGCGTCTCCAACACTGGCTGACAGCTCTTCTCTGGGTCTGCAGGACAGGAGGAAATTAAGAGACAAAAACGATAGTCATTTATATGTACCCACATATTTACCGCCTCTGATGCTCTTCATTCTCTTCTGTAGATCTGAGTTGCCATATGACATTCCTTCTCTTCTGCCTGAAGAATATCTTTTGGCATTTCTTGTAACAGTCCTAGCAGCAATGGATTTTCTCAGTTTTCATGTATCTGAAATATCTTTATTTCATCCTCATTTACAAAGGTTTCTTTACTGAACAGAGAATCCCAGGATGACAGAGTGGGTTTTTTTTTTTTCCTTTAAAAAATTATTTTTATTTTCTTATTTTTCATTTTTTTAACTAATTTTTTTAGGGGGGGGAGTAATGGGGTTTATTTATCTACTAATTTAATGGAGGTACTGAGGCTAGAACCCAGGGCCTCGTGCATGCTAGACATGCACTCTACCACTGAGCTATGCCCTCCCTCCTCCCTTTTAGTGCTTGAAAGATGTTGTTCCATCACCATTGGGATTCTGTTATTTCTGATGAGAATTTGACCATCATTCATTCTTAATGTTATACATATGTACGTAGTCTGTCCTTTTTTCTCTCTAACCACTTTCAAAGGTTTTCTTTGATTTTCAGCAGTTTGAATGTGATGTTCCTAGCTGTGTTTTTCTTTTTATTATCCTACTAGGGGATAACTAAGCTTTCTATATGTGAAAGTCAATACTTTTCAAGAAATTTGGGAAAACGTGGTTAATTATTTCCTCAAAGATATTTGTCTGCCCTATTCTCACTCTTCTTGCCTTCTGAAACTCCAATTATATATAAGTTAGATTGAAGCTCTTTTCATATTCAGTATTTTTCTGTTCTTCAGGGTTCACTGACTCTTTTGCCATTTCCAATGTGCTATTAAGCCAGCCAGTGCATTTTTCCTCTCAGTTATTGTATTTCCCAGTTCTAAAATTTCCATTTAGTTGACTTTAGTAGTTTCCATTTCCTTGCTGAGATTACCTCTGTTTATTAAGACCCTATTTTCAAAAAAAAAGATCCTATTTTCCCTTAAAAAAACTGAATGCTTTTATAATAGATGCTGTAAAGTATTTGTCTGCTAAACTCAACTTCAAGGCCATCTCAGAATCAGTTTTTATTGACTGTTTCCTCTTGACGAGTCAGTTTTCTGTTCTGTTGGATGTCTACTAATTTTTGACTTTATGCTGGCTGTTTTGGTGGCTGTCACCCAAGAATACCTTTTACCCTGTCAGCTGTGTATACTTCACTCTACGACGTTGCTGGCAATGTTTGAAATCTCTTCCTGTTGAAATCTCTTCTCGGTTGCCCTTCACAGATCTGGCAGTACCACCTTTTACTCTTTCTGTTATCCACTGACATCCTGATTACTTGTGCAAATTCATTGAGAAGGCCAAAAAATATAGTTGGAAAAAATTACTGGTTTGGAGCCAACCAGGCTTGCATTTTACTCTTGGTCTGATACTTACTGCCTAGAGTATCTTGGTCAAGTTATAAAATCTCAGTTTCTTCATCTTTAAAAAAATCATAGTAAATCTCCATCATATTAGGCTTTTATGAACATTAAAGATGGCATAGGTAAAGCATGTAGAACTCAATAAATTGTACCAAATATTATTAAGTACTTATACCACCTGGTTCAAATTTTCTACACTGCATAAGGGACTTCAGTGTCTGACTGGACAATCCATCTTCAGCTTTAGCCCACGGACTTCCTTGACTTCAGTACCCTGTACCTATACTTCGTTTTTGTCCATTCCCACAGCCATATTCGAAACTTTTAATCTCTGGAGGTGTATCACTTTAGAAACTTTAAACTTCAATAGCCCAAGCTTTCATCACAATTTCTCCTCTTTCCTTTCTTATCTTTTCTTCTACAGACTTACTGAGCATTTACTTTCTGCTGGGTCTATCAGAATGAATGAGG